TGATATATATACTGGTACCAGGATCTGTCTACACAGTGTTGATATATATACTGGTACCAGGATCTGTCTACACAGTGTTGATATATATACTGGTACCAGGATCTGTCTACACAGTGTTGATATATATACTGGTACCAGGATCTGTCTACACAGTGTTGATATATATACTGGTACCAGGATCTGTCTACACAGTGTTGATATATATACTGGTACCAGGATCTGTCTACAGTGTTGATATATATACTGGTACCAGGATCTGTCTACACAGTGTTGATATATATACTGGTACCAGGATCTGTCTACACAGTGTTGATATATATACTGGTACCAGGATCTGTCTACACAGTGTTGATATATATACTGGTACCAGGATCTGTCTACACAGTGTTGATATATATACTGGTACCAGGATCTATATACACAGTGTTGATATATATACTGGTACCAGGATCTGTCTACACAGTGTTGATATATATACTGGTACCAGGATCTGTCTACACAGTGTTGATATATATACTGGTACCAGGATCTGTCTACACAGTGTTGATATATATACTGGTACCAGGATCTGTCTACACAGTGTTGATATATATACTGGTACCAGGATATATATATACTGGTACCAGGATCTGTCTACACAGTGTTGATATATATACTGGTACCAGGATCTGTCTACACAGTGTTGATATATATACTGGTACCAGGATCTGTCTACACAGTGTTGATATATATACTGGTACCAGGATCTGTCTACACAGTGTTGATATATATACTGGTACCAGGATCTGTCTACACAGTGTTGATATATATACTGGTACCAGGATCTGAGTACACAGTGTTGATATATAAACTGGTACCAGGATCTGTCTACACAGTGTTGATATATATACTGGTACTTGATATATATACTGGTACCAGGATCTGTCTACAGTGTTGATATATATACTGGTACCAGGATCTGTCTACACAGTGTTGATATATATACTGGTACCAGGATCTGTCTACACAGTGTTGATATATATACTGGTACCAGGATCTGTCTACACAGTGTTGATATATATACTGGTACCAGGATCTGTCTACACAGTGTTGATATATATACTGGTACCAGGATCTGTCTACACAGTGTTGATATATATACTATACTGTGTTGATATATATATATACTGGTACCAGGATCTGTCTACACAGTGTTGATATATATACTGGTACCAGGATCTGTCTACACAGTGTTGATATATATACTGGTACCAGGATCTGTCTACACAGTGTTGATATATATACTGGTACCAGGATCTGTCTACACTGTGTTGATATATATACTGGTACCAGGATCTGTCTACACAGTGTTGATATATATACTGGTACCAGGATCTGTCTACACAGTGTTGATATATATACTGGTACCAGGATCTGTCTACACAGTGTTGATATATATACTGGTACCAGGATCTGTCTACACAGTGTTGATATATATACTGGTACCAGGATCTGTCTACACAGTGTTGATATATATACTGGTACCAGGATCTGTCTACAGTGTTGATATATATACTGGTACCAGGATCTGTCTACACAGTGTTGATATATATACTGGTACCAGGATCTGTCTACATTGTGTTGATATATATACTGGTACCAGGATCTGTCTACAAAGTGTTGATATATATACTGGTACCAGGATCTATCTACACAGTGTTGATATATATACTGGTACCAGGATCTGTCTACACAGTGTTGATATATATACTGGTACCAGGATCTGTCTACACAGTGTTGATATATATACTGGTACCAGGATCTGTCTACACAGTGTTGATATATATACTGGTACCAGGATCTGTCTACACAGTGTTGATATATATACTGGTACCAGGATCTGTCTACACAGTGTTGATATATATACTGGTACCAGGATCTGTCTACACAGTGTTGATATATATACTGGTACCAGGATCTGTCTACACAGTGTTGATATATATATACTGGTACCAGGATCTGTCTACACAGTGTTGATATATATACTGGTACCAGGATCTGTCTACACAGTGTTGATATATATATACTGGTACCAGGATCTGTCTACAGTGTTGATATATATACTGGTACCAGGATCTGTCTACACAGTGTTGATATATATACTGGTACCAGGATCTGTCTACACAGTGTTGATATATATACTGGTACCAGGATCTGTCTACACAGTGTTGATATATATACTGGTACCAGGATCTGTCTACAGTGTTGATATATATACTGGTACCAGGATCTGTCTACACAGTGTTGATATATATACTGGTACCAGGATCTGTCTACACAGTGTTGATATATATACTGGTACCAGGATCTGTCTACACAGTGTTGATATATATACTGGTACCAGGATCTGTCTACACAGTGTTGATATATATACTGGTACCAGGATCTGTCTACACAGTGTTGATATATATACTGGTACCAGGATCTGTCTACACAGTGTTGATATATATACTGGTACCAGGATCTGTCTACACAGTGTTGATATATATACTGGTACCAGGATCTGTCTACACAGTGTTGATATATATACTGGTACCAGGATCTTATTGATATATATACTGGTACCAGGATCTGTCTACACAGTGTTGATATATATACTGGTACCAGGATCTGTCTACACAGTGTTGATATATATACTGGTACCAGGATCTGTCTACACAGTGTTGATATATATACTGGTACCAGGATCTGTCTACACAGTGTTGATATATATACTGGTACCAGGATCTGTCTACAGTGTTGATATATATACTGGTACCAGGATCTGTCTACACAGTGTTGATATATATACTGGTACCAGGATCTGTCTACACAGTGTTGATATATATACTGGTACCAGGATCTGTCTACACAGTGTTGATATATATACTGGTACCAGGATCTGTCTACACAGTGTTGATATATATACTGGTACCAGGATCTGTCTACAGTGTTGATATATATACTGGTACCAGGATCTGTCTACACAGTGTTGATATATATACTGGTACCAGGATCTGTCTACACAGTGTTGATATATATACTGGTACCAGGATCTGTCTACACAGTGTTGATATATATACTGGTACCAGGATCTGTCTACACAGTGTTGATATATATACTGGTACCAGGATCTGTCTACAGTGTTGATATATATACTGGTACCAGGATCTGTCTACACAGTGTTGATATATATACTGGTACCAGGATCTGTCTACACAGTGTTGATATATATACTGGTACCAGGATCTGTCTACACAGTGTTGATATATATACTGGTACCAGGATCTGTCTACACAGTGTTGATATATATACTGGTACCAGGATCAGTCCATACAGTGTTGATATATACTGGTACCAGGATCTGTCTACACAGTGTTGATATATATAGTGGTACCAGGATCTGTCTACACTGTGTTGATATATATACTGGTACCAGGATCTGTCTACACAGTGTTGATATATATACTGGTACCAGGATCTGTCTACACAGTGTTGATATATATACTGGTACCAGGATCTGTCTACACAGTGTTGATATATATACTGGTACCAGGATCTGTCTACACAGTGTTGATATATATACTGGTACCAGGATCTGTCTACAGTGTTGATATATATACTGGTACCAGGATCTGTCTACAGTGTTGATATATATACTGGTACCAGGATCTGTCTACATTGTTGACATATATACTGGTACCAGGATCTGTCTACACTGTGTTGATATATATATACTGGTACCAGGATCTGTCTACAAAGTGTTGATATATATACTGGTACCAGGATCTGTCTACACAGTGTTGATATATATACTGGTACCAGGATCTGTCTACACAGTGTTGATATATATACTGGTACCAGGATCTGTCTACACAGTGTTGATATATATACTGGTACCAGGATCTATCTACACAGTGTTGATATATATACTGGTACCAGGATCTGTCTACACAGTGTTGATATATATACTGGTACCAGGATCTGTCTACACAGTGTTGATATATATACTGATACCAGGATCTGTCTACATTGTTGATATATATACTGGTACCAGGATCAGTCTACAAAGTGTTGATATATATACTGGTACCAGGATCTGTCTACAAAGTGTCGATATATATACTGGTACCAGGATCTGTCTACACAGTGTTGATATATATAGTGGTATCAGGATCTGTCTACAGTGTTGATATATATACTGGTACCAGGATCTGTCTACAGTGTTGATATATATACTGGTACCAGGATCTGTCTATACAGTGTTGATATATATACTGGTACCAGGATCTGTCTACACAGTGTTGATATATATACTGGTACCAGGATCTGTCTACACAGTGTTGATATATATACTGGTACCAGGATCTGTCTACACAGTGTTGATATATATACTACTGGTTGATATATATACCAGGATCTGTCTACACAGTGTTGATATATATACTGGTACCAGGATCTATATCTACACAGTGTTGATATATATACCAGGATCTGTCTACACAGTGTGATATATATACTACCAGGATCTGTCTACACACACAGTGTTGATATATATATACTGGTACCAGGATCTGTCTACAGTGTTGATATATATACTGGTACCAGGATCTGTCTACACAGTGTTGATATATATACTGGTACCAGGATCTGTCTACACTGTGTTGATATATATACTGGTACCAGGATCTGTCTACACAGTGTTGATATATATACTGGTACCAGGATCTGTCTACACAGTGTTGATATATATACTGGTACCAGGATCTGTCTACACTGTGTTGATATATATACTGGTACCAGGATCTGTCTACACAGTGTTGATATATATATACTGGTACCAGGATCTGTCTACAGTGTTGATATATATACTGGTACCAGGATCTGTCTACAGTGTTGATATATATACTGGTACCAGGATCTGTCTACAGTGTTGATATATATACTGGTACCAGGATCTATCAGGTAGTCTTGTTATGAGCTTAAATCTATTGCTAGACGTCGAGGGCTCACAGCTCGGATTTGAAAGGGAAACCCCCTAAGGTCCTGATATATGTGTGAGGATTTATGTTTTAACTCTGGGCTGTGTCGTGACCAGTCACCCTTGGATTCATTGTGATTGATCCCTAACCATTTGGTAAGGTGATGGAAGACGCAGTAAACAGAAAGGACACCAAAGCATTTCAGTAAGCAAACTTAAAAGAACAGGCCAGTGAGAAATAATAGCAACAACATGAAATCACAGACCTTCATAATACAATACGGATTATACAGGCATCAGCATCTAATTACAATCCAAATAAATGTCATCACATCAGAAACCAAAACTTGTAAGATAAAGTCTGCAATCAAAATTTAAGCCAGGACGACACCGGAAATTAAAATATGCCTAGTATCAATAATCAACTGTAGACCAAACAAAATCCTGAAACTTAAAATCTTTCTTTGTTTAAAACAATCCACAATACTTAAAATCAAAATGAGCTCAATGTCATATTCAGATTGAGATAAAACTTCTAGACGGTCTAAAATACAAGAAAGGAATTCTATGTCAGTCGTAGTTTTCATAAGTGTTATCGCGTCATCAAGGTCATAATCAGCAGACAGTCAGTGGACTTCAATTTATAGATCTGACAAATTTCCATCTTAATTTCATGCATTTCATTTGTCATTCAGAAATCTTTTTCTCAGTTTTCATGCATTCTAAAGTGTTCATGCACTCATGTCACACAGAATCATAATGTTAAGCATGAACAATTTCATAAGTTTCAAAAAAAGAAATTCATCGAAGAAAAAATACCTTTGTCCAACCAAAGCACCCAATGTTTAACTCTCAGTAAGACATAATGATGGGAGACCGTCAATGTTTACATCTCAGTAAGACATTATGATGGGAGACCGTCAATGTTTACCCAACAGTAAGACATTATGATGGGAGATGGTCAATGTTTAAATCTCAGTAAGACATAATGATGGGAGACAGTCAATGTTAAATCGTAGTAAGACATAATGATGGGAGACAGTCAATGTTTAACCAACAGTAAGACATAATGATGGGAGACGGTCAATGTTTACATCTCATTTAGACATAATGATGGGAGACAGTCAATGTTTACATCTCAGTAAGACATAATGATGGGAGACAGTCAATGTTTAAATCTCAGTAAGACATTATGATGGGAGACAGTCAATGTTTACATCTCAGTAAGACATAATGATGGGAGACAGTCAATGTTTACCCAACAGTAAGACATAATGATGGGAGACGGTCAATGTTTAAATCTCGGTAAGACATAATGATGGGAGACAGTCAATGTTTACATCTCAGTAAGACATAATGATGGGAGATGGTCAATGTTTAAATCTCAGTTAGACATAATGATGGGAGACGGTCAATGTTACAGTCAATGTTTAAATCTCAGTAAGACATAATGATAGGAGACAGTCAATGTTTAAATCTCAGTAAGACATAATGATGGGAGATGGTCAATGTTTAAATCTCAGTTAGACATAATGATGGGAGACGGTCAATGTTACAGTCAATGTTTAAATCTCAGTAAGACATAATGATAGGAGACAGTCAATGTTTAAATCTCAGTAAGACATAATGATGGGAAACCGTCAATGTTTAAATCTCAGTAAGACATAATGATGGGGGACGGTCAATGTTACAGTCAATGTTTAAATCTCAGTAAGACATAATGATGGGAGACAGTCAATGTTTAACTCTCAGTAAGACATAATGATAGGAGACAGTCAATGTTTAAATCTCAGTAAGACATAATGATGGGAAACCGTCAATGTTTAAATCTCAGTAAGACAAAATGATAGGAGACGGTCAATGTTAAATCATAGTAAGACAATGATTTGAGACTGTCAGTATTTTAAGACAAAAAGACATATCTCATTAATGTTATGACCTGTGTCTTTCAAAACTATTCAAATGAAAATAATGTGGAAATGTTAACAAAAAAAAATGAAAATATGTACAAATGGTGACGGAAATACTTGTGTCTAGAAAAGTGTTCTCAACAGAAACCACAAAGAAGGCAGCCAACATACACATAGAGAAGGGAAATCGTACCTACTGTTCCATAGATCCCTTCACACTCACCATAACCCTTGGACATAAAATCCTTGCAGCCAAACACTTTAAAAACATAGTAATGATATTAGAAAGCTGGTGTGACTATAAAACATACAGCAATCTTTGACCAGAAGAAAGTACCATTTTAATTTATTATTAAATTTCTTTAGAAAATAATTCATTATTAAAGGACAAAAAACATTTTCTATTGTATGTCTCCTACTTTTGTTTTAGTCTTCCTCAGGTGATGTTTTGATTGGCCGCAATTTGAGGTCACAAAAGGTCACAAAGATAAGGAAAACTAGTTCTCAAATGTTATTTATAGATTCATGCATTTTCTTACATACTTACATCCACATATCAATGGTAAAATATTTCAGTATAATAACAGAGTCTGGCCACAAAAGATGAGCTGAACTAAATGAACATGCTTTGACAATATGAGTAGATGGTTAAAGGCTCGGTTTACTTTATTGTTATCACCTGAATTAGGAAGTAAAGGAAAGACAAGGAACAGGAGACAGCTACAAAACCAAACCAAAAGAAATGTGTGTGCAACTCAAAAAAACATAGCAATGTCTTCTCATCTACTACTTGTTCCTCCTGATGTCCCTCAGTAACAAGTGTAGGTCACATGATCAGTTAATGATGAGCAGATCACTTTTATAAATAACTCAAAATGATTCAGACAGCAGCAATAACTAAATGGATACAGTTACAACCGACATGATAGTGACAAACTGCTGCATTTACTTAACAAGTTTTATTACAGTAAATAAAAAGTGACAAGGAACAAATTCAACAAAAAATCACATAAAATATTGAACTAAAGCTGTAAATATCAGGTTTCCTTCATTACATGCTGGAGTCAACATGAAACATCTGTTTCCTCTGTGGAAATGATCTGTGAAAGTTACTTCCAACATGAAACATCTGTTTCCTCTGTGGAAATGATCTGTGAAAGTTACTACCAACATGAAACATCTGTTTCCTCTGTGAAAATGATCTGTTAAAGTTACTACCAACCTAAAAAGAAGATGAGGACTAGTGAAAGATGGCTCCACTAGCACTGGGCTATGGTGTTCTGAGATTCTTTATACACCTCTGTTGTCATAGAGTATTTATCACAGATCAAATGGAGCATTGATCTACTAACATAGGAGTGGAAGTATATATGGTGTATGGTATACTTTTAGCATTATACTTATGTCCATAAAGGACCTCATGCTATAACAGATATTTAGATAAGCTAAACAAGTGTCACCAAAACCAATGAAAAACTTGGGACCAGGCCATCATTTGTAAGTGATCATTTTTTTCTTCGGCTTTAAGTACAAGGTCAGCATGGAATTTACGAGTTTATAAATTTACAACCGTAAAACAAGCTATCTGTTTACATTAATCACTCTTGATGGCTCAAATCAAGCATATAACTGGACTTACTGTGAGATGAAAGTATCCAGGAATACGCATGTGTTACCAGAGTATCCAGGAATACCCATGTGTTACCAGAGTATCCAGGAATACCCATGTGGTACCAGAGTATCCAGGAAAACCCATGTGGTACCAGAGTATCCAGGAATACCCATGTGGTACCAGAGTATCCAGGAATACCCATGTGGTACCAGAGTATCCGGGAATACCCATGTGGTACCAGAGTATCCGGGAATACCCATGTGGTACCAGAGTATCCGGGAATACCCATGTGGTACCAGAGTATCCGGGAATACCCATGTGGTACCAGAGTACCTAGGGATACCCATGTGGTACCAGAGTATCCAGGGATACCCATGTGGTACCAGATTACCTAGGAAAACACATGTGGTACCAGAGTATCCAGGAATACCCATGTGGTACCAGAGTATCCAGGAATAACCATGTGGTACCAGAGTATACTGGAATACCCATGTGGTACCAGATTACCTAGGAAAACACATGTGGTACCAGAGTATCCAGGAATACCCATGTGGTACCAGAGTATCCAGGAATACCCATGTGGTACCAGAGTATCCAGGAATACCCATGTGGTACCAGAGTATCCAGGAAAACACATGTGGTCAGACAAATGTCCACATACATTTTCACATCCTATCAGGGAATTGAACCTAGTCACTTAGGTGAAAGGCAAGAGTGTTACCACTTTACCACACAGATTGTCAGCAATGGGGGTCTAGCAAACTGTACACTCTGTGTGTGCATTGGATGACAGATAGTGAAGTTCTATTGTACCACACATAACATCAAAAGCTTCACAGCTGTTTACTGAAAAGTGCAATGAAATATAGTAAAAAATGTTTATAAAAGAGGACTAACCAGCAAAACATAGATTTGTGATGCAGCCTTTCATTGGTTACAACTACAAATAATGATTTACTCACCTAAAGCTTTGACAAGTTCTTTAACAGAAACACCCTGCAGTTCAGGGGGGACAGTATTGCCATCACGCCTGGAAGATTTAGGAGAGCCTGGGGCGGGTGATCTATTACTGGTGATGACTGCTAATGATGGTGAGTCTAACCGAGCTGGTGACACAGTCTGGGGAGAAAAGGACACTGGAGATGATCGTTTCTTTGTAAAGCTAGATGAGGGAAGAGAGTGGACACGGGTCAGCTCTTTGGTGTTAGATGTCCCACCTTCCGAGTGGTAGCCATTGCTCATGCCAAATGATGGTGCAGGTGACTGGCCAAATGAGGGCGCATTTGGCCCCACACCTAGACAAAGAAAAAAATAATCTTATACAAATTCACCTGCTTATGATATAGCTGACTGTTAAGATATGTTAAAACCATTCATGACAACCAAAATCTATGGATACATAAATACAACTAATTCAACATTTTGTCTGTCTAACACGGAATTCATCAAGGTTTAAATTTTTCATGTTAACTTGATAACTTATTTTGATAACAGAAAATCCAATAAAATGTCATATTACTATACGTCCTAGACAGAGAATGGGAGTCACACAGGAGACAGTTTACTTACCCTGGTTACCAAAGGCAAACGCACTTGATGGTAAACTGGTACTCCTGGCAAAGTTACCTTAATTTAAAATAGTGAAGAACTTATCAATGTCAATATCAATGTTTTAAAAGGTAATTTTGATGTACTGATAAACTCTTGGTCAAATATATTGCTTCTAAGCACTGCCAGACAGATCAACCATTAGTATAGATGAGTGTATGTGTAGTCAGTGCTAACACAGCTGGACAATGCTTGTATAGCCCTATATCTTCCTTCTGGAATCAAATCACATTGTATGGCATGAAATAGTATCACTATATCATTGTATTTCTTTTCCTTCAATAAATTATCAATACTCTACAGAGTTTCCTTCTGTATTCGGTAACTAAGTCATATACAGTATAAATGTACAAAGCGAAAGTAAGACATGGATAAGTGTACAGTTGTGGGATCGCACAACGTTACACAGTGTATACATGATAGGAAAATTGGACGAAATAAGCTAACATAAATTTGTGCATACGTTGTGCAGTTCTATCACACAAATGTACGATTCTATTGTGGTTTATATAAACATAGAAATTACTTATAAATAAGTGTGGGATATGGTTTATTTATTTTCTAAACATATCAGAATATAACTAAGTATATTTCCAAATTAAGTCATTAATTATATAGGTTTGACACATATATCATATAGACACTGAATATCCAGATACCCCCATAACTTTAAATGTTATGTGTACGGACACACTTTATATATATACATGTAAACATGGACATCTCTTTATGTTACAGCCATGAATCATTTAAAATCTCGTATCGTCAGAAAGGAAATTTTATTTTCATTGCTTCTGTATTGCTCTCATTTTTCATTCATATTGTAAACAACAAATATATGCTCAGGTAAATCTTACGTGTTGCATCCTTACACAGGAAACCCTGCCGGTACTGATCCCTGTCACATATATACCTGTATACAGTAAACTGTTGTTGTCCAAGGCATCACTACTTGCCATTGTTTTAGGTATATATACAATAATACTAAAAGATGCAGTTCAGTGTTATTTCGAAAACTGTCAAATCAAAAAATGTCTTTTATAATCACCGATCAATCTTAATGTTCATGTGATTGCTACTTAGTTACAATTTCACAAATTTTCTGTTTAATTTTCAATCCATAATATTAGCAAACCATTGTAACATAATTGCACAAAATGTGTGATTCTGTTGTGAAATTGTGTGCACAAAAATCCAGGGGTACCAAACGCAGATTATATAGAGGGAGTCTGTGTTACCTGGGGAAGGGTGTACCCCTCCAAACACAGATCCTGGGGTACCAAACACAGATCATATAGAGAGAGTCTGTGATACATACCTGGGGAAGGGTGTGCCCCTCCAAACACAGATTCTGGGGTACCAAACACAGATTATATAGAGGGAGTCTGTGATACATACCTGGGGAAGGGTGTGCCCCTCCAAACACAGATCCTGGGGTACCAAACACAGATCATATAGAGGAAGTCTGTGATCAATAACAGAAGGGTTGCCCTCCCCCTGCCCCCCCACACCCTGTGAACATAGATCCTGGGGTACCAAACACAGATTATATATAGGGAATCTGTGATACATACCTGGGGAAGGATGTGCCCCTCCAAACACAGATCCTGGGGTACCAAACACAGAATACTGAGATGGAGTCTGGGGTGAGGCTCCAAAGTCAAAACCCTTGGCAACAGCTGCATTGAGAGTGTTGAAAGAGAAAGGGTCCTTTTCAGCATTGAGAGGTAGTTCGGGTATGTCAGCCTCATGTTGGAGATAAACAATTCCTTCCTTCCCTGCCACTAATGACCATGTCTCCCCCTCCTGTTGACAGAACTGTTCTGCACTCTCAGGGTCAATCTTCACCCATAGGCCATCTTGATTGGTCACCTGAAGTTATTAAAGTCATCCTACATCATTTTCTTTAATCATTAATAACAATTCATATAAAAGTGTCATGCACAACCTGAAGTGTGCTCACCTCTATAATTGCATTCATTGATGAAAAGGCAGTTTGATTAGGCTTGCACAAGGGTATACTGTCTTGTAATTACATTAACTGTATATAACAAGACTTTTTTTATATCAATGTGATTAAAATATGAACAGAAATGCAAGACATCTAGTTACGATGTTAAGTGACATATATTTACTGTATGCAAGTAACATCTAGTTACAATGTTAAGTGACATATATTTACTGTATGTAATTAACATCTAGTTACAATGTTAAGTGACATGTATTTACTGTATGTATGTAACATCTAGTTACAAAGTTAAATGACATATATTTACTGTATGTAAGTAACATCTAGTTACAATGTTAAGTGACATGTATTTACTGTATGTAAGTAACATCTAGTTACAATGTTAAGTGACATGTATTTACTGTATGTAAGTAACATCTAGTTACAAAGTTAAATGACATATATTTACTGTATGTATGTAACATCTAGTTACAAAGTTAAATGACATATATTTACTGTATGTAAGTAACATCTAGTTACAATGTTAAGTGACATGTATTTACTGTATGTAAGTAACATCTAGTTACAATGTTAAGTGACATGTATTTACTGTAAGTAACATCTAGTTACAAAGTTAAATGACATATATTTACTGTATGTATGTAACATCTATTTACAAAGTTAAATGACATATATTTACTGTATGTAAGTAACATCTATTTACAAAGTTAAATGACATATATTTACTGTATGTAACATCTAGTTACAATGTTAAGTGACATGTATTTACTGTAAGTAACATCTAGTTACAATGTTAAGTGACATGTATTTACTGTAAGTAACATCTAGTTACAATGTTAAGTGACATGTATTTACTGTATGTATGTAACATCTAGTTACAATGTGAAATGACATATATTTACTGTATGTAAGTAACATCTAGTTACAAAGTTAAATGACATGTATTTACTGTATGTATGTAACATCTAGTTACAATGTTAAGTGACATGTATTTACTGTAAGTAACATCTAGTTACAATGTTAAATGACAAGTAATAACTGTATGTAAGTAACATCTAGTTACAATGTTAAGTGACATGTATTTACTGTAAGTAACATCTAGTTACAATGTTAAGTGACATGTATTTACTGTATGTATGTAACATCTAGTTACAATGTGAAATGACATATATTTACTGTATGTATGTAACATCTAGTTACAATGTTAAATGACAAGTATTAACTGTATGTATGTAACATCTAGTTACAATGTTAAGTGACATGTATTTACTGTATGTAAGTAACATCTAGTTACAAAGTTAAATGACATATATTTACTGTATGTATGTAACATCTAGTTACAATGTTAAGTGACATGTATTTACTGTAAGTAACATCCAGTTACAATGTTAAGTGACATGTATTTACTGTATGTAAGTAACATCTAATTGCAATGTTAAGTGACAATGTGAAATGACATATATTTTTACTGTATGTATGTAACATCTAGTTACAATGTTAAGTGACATGTATTTACTGTAAGTAACATCTAGTTACAATGTTAAGTGACATGTATTTACTGTATGTAAGTAACATCTAGCTACAATGTTAAGTGACATGTATTTACTGTATGTAAGTAACATCTAGTTACAAAGTTAAATAACATGTATTTAATGTATGTTAGTAACATCTAGTTACAAAGTTAAATAACATATATTTGCTGTATGTAATTAAAAGAATTAATTTAATCATTTGCCTAGGAATTATTCTGTTACTATTTATGTTGTTGATGATGCACTAGTGGCCCCACTAACTGCTTCTGGTATCACACTTATGTTTATTTGAACTTACTGCTGTTCTAATGATGAGGTAATATTCTTTTTTCTTGAATGTATTGTGAAAATCTGTGGTATTCACACATAAATATCGGGATTGTTAATTTTCTCATACTGTGTCAAAGTGCATTTCTTAAGCATGCGTTTAACCATACTTAATGGTTTTTTTCTACTTTCAATTAGAGTTTTACTCAAGCTGAATATTTTGTTCAATCAATAACCAATACTATTTAACAGGTTATATATTACATTTATCAAAAAAAGACATGACTTTGTGTTTCAATTTTGAAAAGTCACTATATTGCACATCTTGCTGAAATCAAACCTTGTTTAGTAGTTCTTATACTTATATTGCAGTTCCAATGAACACGACAGACTTGAAAGGGAATTTTTTTTCCTTTTTTCTTGTAATGTAATTTTCAAATGATAAGTATACTGATTTTGTTATAAAAGTGGTTCCTTTCGTTGTATCACTTACATCTTCAAGGGCAGTGATTCTGTCTCCCAAGGTCAGCATGCCGACTGGAGTGGCCTTGAGACTTGGGCGGCAACGAATATTATGGCCAAATGATCCACACTTCAACACCTGATAAACACCTGGACCTGAACAAGAACAAACATAGTAGTAGTAATCAGCAGTCAGAATTCTAAGTTTCTAATTATTTGTCTTTATATATTACATATTGATTTAAACAATCTACATAAACAGAATTTTGAGTCTTTTAAAATAAATATTTGTTAGCAGACTGAAAAGAATATCTTATTCTATTTTCCAAATGAGTTGTGTGTGGTTTTTTTTCAGCGTGATTCAATACAGTTGACTGAATTAAGGTCTGTTAATCAAATAACCTTTTCCAGTCAAACTTTTGACTCTGATATTGTTTATAAATAGTCATCAAACTAGTGACCTTGCCTTAAATGACCCAATCCAACTTGTGACCTTGACAATTCCTAGTAACACAGTCAAACTTTTGACCTAACAGTTCTAATTAAAGCATGTGACCTTGACATTGCCTATTAACCCTATTAACCTTACCTCTCTTAGGTTTATGAGACTCAGCCCTGACTAGTTCAGGCAGCTTCTTAAGGATCGTCTCCTTGATGATCTCATCCATAAGAGATTTGGGTTCCTCTAGTGGTACCAGGAGAGTCTTACCCAGGTGCTGATTGTATTGAAGGCACCAACCCTCCACATGCCCGCTAATACACCACTCATTTAACGACTCCTGACTCAGTCGCAGCCACACACCATCATCATTGTGAACCTGTAAATTACATGCATCTGTATATAGTCTTGCGGACTTACGTGGCAAATGATGTTAAGAAATTATGCTTATTTGAATTTAATGAATTATCTGGCCAGTCTTTGAATTAGATTAGAAAAATTTCTGTACAAGCCCATCTCCACTTTTGTGTCTGCACTGATGAGTCCTAAAGGCAAAAAACAGCGGTATGGTGCAGGTAAATGCATTATTTCGCTCTGTATGATGCGCTTTAATTCATTATTTGGCTCAAGTGAATCTCATCTTTAGTTGTATTAAATGTATTCACTGGAGTGTTTTTTGTTTAATCTTCAGAAAATAAGAATTAAAACTTATTCCCAACCTCTCCTCAACTAAATATAGAAAAAAATGAGTTGTTTTTATTCCGGGTGAACTGTCACTTGAGAAAAAAGAAAATTATGAAGCAAAAATTCTGTTAATTTGTTTCATGTATTGTTTGAACAAACTGCAATAATAATGGCTCCTGAAACATGCCATTTTCATCCAGCCTCATGTGTTGCATTTAACTGTGACTGTTGACAATATTGATATGTTGGAGTCATGATCAGGCTAATTCATTCATCATGGATACCAGTTTGAAGAATATTTTGTTTCAAAATTTGTAAGATGATTCACAAGTTGTGGCCTACTGTAATAAGAAATCTAAGTACATTATGTCACATACACAAGGCCTGGCCTAACATTTGCTGTCTTCATCCAAATAAAAGTCATTCATTTGAGTAATGTTTATCATGTTGCAACTGTACGTATTCCATGATCAATTAATGAAAACATTTCCCACTCGTTATCATCAGAATCAACAGAAGCCAAGTAAAGATACACATCATGCTGACCAGGTTTCAAGTCACATTTCATTGTTGTGGCCAATGGATTCTCTTGTATCTTTCATCTTTACAAGCCTAAGTGTAAAATACTAAGAATATTGAAATGACTATAGAACCAATCACATCTACTTTTTTTGTTTTTGTGACACCAATATAGATTGTAGATTTTTACTTCCTGGCTACTAATCAAAATGTATGTACAGGTCTTGGAAAGGTTATGATGTAACCTAAGTTGTGGCCAATGTTATCCTGCCATCATTTTTCAGAGGCAGCAGTCAATCTGGTTCATGCCCCTTTTTGTCTGGTTATTGTTTCATAATAGAATCGGCAAATAGTAATACATATATTTGTGTTATCCATGGTTAATAGGGGGTATTACTGCCAAATTACAGTATGACAATTATCCAACATGGCCGACCACTAATGTACAGGTGGAGATGCTTGAAATATACCCACTTCCAACTTTTAGGCAATATTTAAGGGGATGGGTCTTGTGATGGTAAATAACAGCTATTTCCTCTGCCACTGTACAATAAAGAATCTGATACATGTTCAAAGCTTTGTCTAAATTCCAATACAAGAGATTCATTGTCTGGTAAATAGGATATGTATATGGCTGATATAAACAATGTTATAGATTATCCCATGCATATACCTCGTCCACAAAGGAAATGATGCCCTCTGGCTGTATAATCCCTAGCTGTTCACTCTGAAGGGAGGGATTCACTCTTATCCTCAGACCCGCACTGTTCTTGGCTACAAACCTACGCATCTGAAATACCAAGACAAGACATTTCAGTGGAAGATACATTCACATTTATAGTTAAAACTGTTAATATGTTAGAATGAATTCTGTTAAGTTCTAAACAATAACAAGTTCAGTAGTAAATCGTTACCCGGTTCTGCTGGTGTGGCTTTTTCTCATTCTTGGTTGGTGGGGTGAGCCCCTGAGGAGCCTCCTTTACCTCTACCTTGACCACTTCTCCTGTAACAAAAACATTAATTATCTAAGTACAACAGCACTGAAGATATGGGTCTGAAGTATAGCATTGAAGTTTACGGTCTGAAGTATAGCATTGAAGTTTAGGGTCTGAAGTACAGCACTGAAGTTTGTCTGAAGTATAGCACTGAAGTTTAGGGTCTAAAGTACAGCACTGAAGTTTACGGTCTGAAGTACAGCACTGAAGTTTAGGGTCTAAAGTACAGCATTGAAGTTTACGGTCTAAAGTACAGCATTGAAGTTTACGGTCTAAAGTACAGCATTGAAATTTAGGGTCAAATGGTAATGGTTTAATTTTGACCCATGAATTAATCTAACCCATCACCTATTATACCAACTATGCATGGAAACAAATGATTTACTTTCTCTTTATTTGATAGTGCTAAAACAAGTGGGACATAGACCTATAAATACCAATCACTATACTCAAAAAAACCTTGTTGTTCTCACAACAAAGATACATGCATGTTCTGAAGGTGTGAAAACCGCTGAAGGGTTACATGTCAGTTTTCGTACAGGTAAATTTTCAAAACTTCAAAATAAAACGTGTTTGTTCCTATGTTTTCTTTACAATTGGACTGAAAAAAGTTCGAAATAGTGAAAAATTTGATATATAAAAGTTTGAAACAAGTATGGTAAAAATACTATAGTTATAAAGTAAAAAATTTCGGGACTTTTTAAAAAGTTCGAAATGATGAGAAATTCGAAATATTGAAGTTTGAAATACCGAAGTTTGACTGTATATTCACTCATCCTACTTTGTGATTAAGTAGGTATAAAATTAATGTTCACACTTTCTATGTACCTGCTTCAAAGCCGTCAATTGTGACATGTATGTTGTAGAAACCCACGCTGCCTGGTGTCCAGTTGGCACTAAATGTCCCATCATTGTTTGCTCTCACCAGCATGTTTTCACTTGGACGCAGAACAGCTGGAGCAGCAAATCTAAGCTCCTCAAATGAGTAGTTCTCGTACGCCTAGAGAGGAAAACAGTTAAGATGGACACCAATATGTGAGAAGCAGTTTATGTTGATTTGAGTTTTTAATACTCGAGTCAAGAAAATTAAGCCACATGTAACAAAGCTGTAGTAGATATATTCATATTTTGTTATAATCACGGTACTGCACAGAAAGCAGAGTCAGAATCTTAATTATAAATTAATTGTATCATTACATTAATCACTACATCATTTCAAGTAAAACATTGCTATACATTAAACCCTAAAACTTTACCTTCATCATACAGATGGCATGGAATACATCCTTCCTGTCCTTGACTGTAGGTTCATAAGGTGTGTCTAGACAGGGAGGAGGATGACCTCCAAATGTCATGTTACCCTCATCTGGTCGGCTCAGTCTACGCATACGTTTCTCATCCTCCCCAAGAGCTCCCATATCTACCGGGACAGCCTTCACTTCAACCTGTCATTGGTATTTTAAATCAATATCAACCTTCACTTCAAACATGTTGATGGTGTCTTCAATAACTTTATCATATGACCAGAGAAGTGGTCTCTATGAGAATTTTAGTGTACTTAAATTCAGTGCAACTAAATGTCTTAAAGTCTACCTTTATATCCCAAGGCTAGAGAATAAAACATGATTCCTGAATTTAATCAAACACTATGTTTGGAGAGAGAATCCTTAATCACCTCATACCCAAGAGTTAGAAACTGAACCCTTAATTTGCCCTTTCCCAAGGGTTGGAGACTGAATCTTTAATTTGCCCATACCCAAGGAGTGAAGACTGAATCCTTAATTTGCCCATACCCAAGAGTGCCCATACCCATCGGTAAGAGATTAAATCCTAAATTTGCCCATACCCAAGGATTGAAAACTGAATCTTTAATTTGCCTATACCTTAGGGTTGGAAACTGAATCCTAAATTTGCCTATACCTAAGGACTGAAGACTGAATCCTTAATTTGCCCACACAGGAGGGCTCGGGACTGAATCCTGAATCTAGCCTTACCCTAAGTTCAGGGACATTGACGAGATGACTGTATTGGTCCTTTGTAAGTACAGTGATGACTGCTGGCCAGCTACATTTAAGCTCCTCTTTAGTGTAGACAATCTCACACTGTGAAGGGTCGAGGTAAGAGTCTGGCTGGAGCCATCTATAACCATATAACAGCATCAATAGTCATATTCTCTCAACTCTCATTACAGGAATAACATAGCATTACTAATTTTATTTTCCTATATAAGTTGTGAGAATTGCATTCTTTTAAATACAAAATAAAATGTTTGAATTCTGGTGTTAGGAATTTAAAAGCAAATTTTGAACTTTAGAGTTATCTTTTCTGAGGATCTTAATTTTGAAACTTGTTCTGAGCTTTGTAATATCCCATCACTAGAATGCAGTAATAGATCCAGTATACTTTAAGATATATCTTAAAGATACATATTTTCTTGACTTAGAATATAATGTCAATGTACCTGGCTAATCGTCCTCCGCTAGTGCCAGGACTACAGGACACAAAATCTTTGAGGAAGGAACGTTCATTTGATTGCCAACAAAAGGGGAGGTTACCTTCCAGAGCCTGCATGATGGTGGGAGGGTGAGACAGAGCAAAGCCCTTCTCAAGTAGTGACGAGTGTGCACTGAAGACCTGGTCAAACATTCACAATAAAAAAAGGGTCAAGGTCACAATAATCTAAAAGTACTTCACTTTGTCAGTGATAAAGGCATACAATAACATTCAACAAAATAATCTTTAATGGTTTAAAAGTTCTCTTCTGTACCAGAAATTATTGGAAAAATTGCACTTTTCTGACTTTTGACCTTGGCAATGACTTAACAACAGTGTATTTCATATCGGTTTTAGGTCATGCAAGTATTGCTAACAAACATTCATGCCTCAATTATCTAGAAATCACATTCTCACACAATATCTATAAAAGTAAATCCTTCCTGCCCAAATCACAAATACAATATAATACTGTACTTACCAACTGTGTGCTCTCATCTATAAAATCCATGTCCTCATCAAGTTCCTCCATCGTTACTGCATCACAATAAACAGATTAAAATGTTTTAACTTAGGTAACACATCTTCCTGTGTCAATTATACTTTATACAACACCTGGCAAATTAAGATATTTATAACAGTCCGCAGATACTCTAAATTGTAAGAATCAGTGCGTTATAACAAAACAGAATTTCCTAATGGAGACTTACCTGGAGGTAGACCAATATCCTTTTTGATGAGAGAGCCAGCACACATGCCACCTAGGTAGGCTAGCTCCTGTTCTAGCTGGAGAAGGTTCTATACGAAATAACACATTAGATAAATAATTGTTTAACCTAGGTAGGTCAGCTCCTGTTCTAGCTGGAGAAGGTTCTATATGAAATAACACATCAGATAAGTTATTGTTTAACCTAGGTAGGCCAGCTCCTGTTCTAGCTGGAGCAGGGTCTATATGAAATAACACATTAGATAAATAATTGTTTAACCTAGGTAGGTCAGCTCCTGTTCTTGCTGGAGCAGGGTCTATATGAAATAACACATTAGATAAATTATTGTTTAACCAAGGTAGGTCAGCTCCTGTTCTTGCTGGAGAAGGGTCTATACAATTTAATACAGAAAAAATTACCAATACATTATTTGTTTATAAAGAAGATACAATGTTATAAAGATGATATGATGTTACAGATATTTAAATGGAATTATATACAGAATTTCCCGTTCTAATTGACCAACTTCAATTTGAACAAAGCAAATTATATTTTTCAATTAATGTATTTGAGAACCTAATAACACATTCCTGGAGCTCTTCATTTTTGCCTAAATTTGTTTTGCTTACTAAACGTAAAATGATATGCTATGACTGTCATAATAAACACAATTACATTACTTCATTAGGCCACTGATCAATGTGTGGTACATTAACACAATTACCTCTGAGGGTTTGGAATTCCACTCATATCCAACAATGCAGCATTTGAAACCATAGAAACAAGATTTCTCATCTTTGATGTAGTCTGATGCTGTCTCTAGAGAAAATACTACTTCACTACCTGTAAAGCAATAAGTTTTTATCAATCTTACAACACTGCCCTAAGCCAAGCTCCCAATTCTGATTTTTAAAAGCAGTTACAAATAATTATTTATGTCTACAACGACATAATAAAATTTTGAAAATATGATAGCAAAATTCATCTATTAGAACTGTGCTCTTTATTTGTTGATATTCCTTGATGTTTCATGCAGTAAATTCATCTTAAAATATGTTCAACATGAAAAACTTTTTGCATTCTCAGCGTAAAAATTGTATAAAGCATTGGTCACTAATACCAGTATCACAGAAATATGCAGACACCTACACAAACCATCAATCTTCCTCAATATATTACAGTTATCTTACCAGGAAGAATAATTGCATTCTTAGGCCAGTTGTCTCCCCCTGAGAATTTCTTCCGGAGAGGACTGTAATTCTGTTTGCTGGGTAGGTCCTCTGTTTCCTTGGTAACACTTGTGGTGATCCCAGGGGAGCTGAGGATGCTGGGAATCAACAGCTGAAGTGTGTCCTCTGTCTGAGCCGTACCACAGAGGGGGTCAAACTCCAACACCATCCACTTCACAGACTCTGGGAATGTAACCTGTAATTAAAAAGATAATTCTTCATTTGGGTTGTATATAGCAGCACAAGACCCCTACATTATCTAACATAACTTATCTCTGTTCAAAGCAATGTTCTAATAATAAAATCACATCAATTGGTACACACACAACAGATATCCTGACTCATCAATTGGTACACACCCACCAAAGATATCCTGACTCATCAATTGGTACACACAACAGATATCCTTGTAGTTAGCTACAGTGGCTGGTTTATAAGGATGGTCACTAGTGGCTGGTTTATATACCTACCTTGTATACCAGTGGCTGGTTTACCTCTCCACCACAGTGTAGTTAGCTACAGTGGCTGGTTTATAAGGATGGTCTCTCTCCACCACAGTGTAGTGATATCATACCTACCTTGTAGTTAGCTACAGTGGCTGGTTTATAAGGATGGTCACTCTCCACCACAGTGTAGTGATATTATACCTACCTTGTAGTTAGCTACTGTGGCTGGTTTATAAGGATGGTCACTCTCCACCACAGTGTAGTGATATTATACCTACCTTGTAGTTAGCTACAGTGGCTGGTTTATAAGGATGGTCTCTCTCCACCACAGTGTAGTGATATTACACCTACCTTGTAGTTAGCTACAGTGGCTGGTTTATAGGGATGGTCACTCTCACCACAGTGTAGTGATATTACACCTACCTTGTATTAGCTACAGTGGCTGGTTTATAAGGATGGTCACTCTCCACCACAGTGTAGTGATATCATACCTACCTTGTAGTTAGCTACAGTGGCTGGTTTATAGGGATGGTCACTCTCCACCACAGTGTAGTGATATTATACCTACCTTGTAGTTAGCTACAGTGGCTGGTTTATAAGGATGGTCACTCTCCACCACAGTGTAGTGATATTATACCTACCTTGTAGTTAGCTACAGTGGCTGGTTTATAGGGATGGTCACTCTCCACCACAGCGTAATGGTGTGAAGTTGTACCCCCATTGGTCTCCCCCTCAGGGGATGGTTGGGGTGGTGATACTTTACTGTTGATGCTAGTTAGTGCAGGCAGAATCTCCTGTATCATACCTAGCACTTGTACTGCTCCCTACAAATCGCAATAAACTTTTAACAAAAAATAGTATACACACATTAACAACTAAACAATGACAGTAATCAACATTTAGGTTTAGTATCATAATCCAACACTAAAATCAACTGATACACACACAACAGATATCCAGACTGATGACTATAATACACAAAAACGTTTGTTTTAATTGGTGAAGAATTAATGCATGGATCAAATGTTTCCAAAAAACTTTCATTTTATTACAATAAGATAGTGTGAGACTGCTTCAAGAAATAACTTCTTTTCCAGCACAAAAAATGCCATTTTCAGTTAAAGAATGAACTTTTTTTCATGCAATCAAACATGTCATTATTGAGAACATTAAGAAATTTTTTTTAAATGCATCATCACAACACTCCAGAAAAATATTGATTTTCATTTGCTGATATGATAGTATTGATGCATCAGTCTTAAGATAGAGGGATGGGCTTATAATGGTCATTACTCAGTATCCTACAGCATTAACACACTCACCCTTGGGTCCTGGGAGGCTACCGGTCCTATGTAAGCTAGGATAAGTGGCAGCAGAGAACAGAAGAGATGAGAGTTGCCCAGAATGGATAGAGATTCTTCCACTGTTAAATAAAACCAATGTTCAATGGCGTTTTTTAGTTAACATTTGTTAACATTAATTCTATGAACTGTATAATAACAGGCCCCACTTGTATAAAACATCTCAATTTAAGATTTCCTCAAGCCCAGATTTTCCTCAGCTAATATCTCCTTGAAAATATCTTGTATGAAAATTCCTCAAGGAATTTCAGGACATCCTAGCCGATGCCTTCCTCCTGTTCCTTGAGAAAATTTTATACAAGCCCTTTTTGAGGAGATATCAGCTGAGGAAAATCTCGACTTGAGGAAATCTCAAGTTGAGATGTTTTATACAAGTGGGGCCTGGACTTCTAAAATTACAACATATTCTATCTATCTGTTATATTTCACCGTTATCTTCAGCATAGATTATGTTAACCTCATGTGGAAAGGCTTAGGTGGTTAGAATATTCTCCATAGGCTGGAGCAGCTCATTATAACAAGGCATGCCATAGGCAGATGAAAAGGAAAAAATTCAATGTGCAACTTCACTGAGACCATGAAATAATTCACCAATATATATCATTACTTACCAGGCAGACTGTTGGCTCGGTGTAGGATATAAATAACTTACCTATATCATTATTTACCAGGCAGACTGTTGGCTCGGTGTAGGATATAAATAACTTACCTATATCATTACTTACCAGGCAGACTGTTGGCTCGGTGTAGGATATAAATAACTTACCTATATCATTACTTACCAGGCAGACTGTTGGCTCGGTGTAGGATATAAATAACTTACCTATATCATTACTTACCAGGCAGACTGTTGGCTCTGTGTAGGATATAAATAACTTACCTATATCATTACTTACCAGGCAGACTGTTGGCTCGGTGTAGGATATAAATAACTTACCTATATCATTACTTACCAGGCAGACTATATAATAACTTACCTATATCATTACTTACCAGGCAGACTGTTGGCTCGGTAGGATATAAATAACTTACCTATATCATTACTTACCAGGCAGACTGTTGGCTCGGTGTAGGATATAAATAACTTACCTATATCATTACTTACCAGGCAGACTGTTGGCTCGGTGTAGGATATAAATAACTTACCTATATCATTATTTACCAGGCAGACTGTTGGCTCTGTGTAGGATATAAATAACTTACCTATATCATTATTTACCAGGCAGACTGTTGGCTCTGTGTAGGATATAAATAACTTACCTATATCATTATTTACCAGGCAGACTGTTGGCTCTGTGTAGGATATAAATAACTTACCTATATCATATATGGATATAAATAACTTACCTATATCATTATTTACCAGGCAGACTGTTGGCTCTGTGTAGGATATAAATAACTTACCTATATCATTACTTACCAGGCAGACTGTTGGCTCTGTGTAGGATATAAATAACTTACCAATATATATCATTACTTATGTAGCGCCGAGTATTTTTAGGTTTACATCCAGGGCATAAATTATCACGTGACCGTTTATTTTCGTTTTTTTGTGGTGTCATGTGATTAGTTATCACATGATCGTCTTGTCTTACTTTTGCTTTACCTGTAATCGGTGTGTTTGTGACGTATTGTGCATGTATTGCCAATCACCTGTCCATCATTTGTGCTGACTTGACAAGTTTGACTGATCCCTGACATGGTAGGAGACACGTTCTCCACACTGATTTTTGGCGCCTTCTTTTCCTTTTTTTTTCTGTCCTGTCCTTGTGTCGGCACTTCTCAGCTACCCGAGGGCCGGTGCACACATATTTGTCCCTCTTCGCTGTGCGGCTATTTATCCGCATTATTAATCTATTTCCCTATAACCAGGTTCCCCAGCACCACATGCAGGGTAAGTGGATAATTTAATGTATTATGTTTGTAAATAGTTGCTAATAATTAAAACCTAATTATAATGCTTGAGTAAAGTTAATACTTTAGCTCTAGAGTCATATAAACTTATTTTTGATACTTATAAAATAACAGCTAAAAGTAGTCGTTATTTCCTAAATATTTCTTGATTATATTCCTAAGTCTAATATTAGCTATGAGCCTAATATCATTCGAAATGTCAGTGTAATTATCTTTATTCGTAACCTTTCCCATGCTTGTCAGGTCGTGTAGAAAGTCGGTGGAAATTTCGTCAAGTATCGTCTTTATAGTAATGTGTATTTGAATGAAGGTTATGTGCGTTCATATGTGATTTGTACTTGTATGTTATTTTAAATATATTTTACAGGGATTTTAATTCCCGGATAAATAAATAAATACCTCCACGAAACACACGGGCTTGTAGTTGTTGTGTCGCTCTTGGTGAAAGAACCCTGGATAAATGTTACACTTACCAGGCAGACTGTTGGCTAGGTGTAGGATATAAATAACTTACCTATATCATTACTTACCAGGCAGACTGTTGGCTCTGTGTAGGATATAAATAACCTACCAATATATATCATTACTTACCAGGCAGACTGTTGGCTCTGTGTAGGATATAAATAGCTTATCAATATATATCATTACTTACCAGGCAGACTGTTGGCTCGGTGTAGGATATAAATAGCTTACCAATATATATCATTACTTACCAGGCAAACTGTTGGCTCTGTGTAGGATATCCGTGGTTGTCCTACATATAGCTGCTACAATATCAATGGCATTCTTGCGGGCCTGGAGTTCCACCAGACTCTTGCTGTTCTGTTGATAAGACTCTCCATCCTGAGGAGCACTAAAGAAATCAATAACAGAGATATTAATCACATCTATCCTAATACTGCTTATATGTGGGTCAGGCTTACAAGGGCTATGGTGTTCTAATTGATACAGTTGAGAACAGATGATAAACTAAGGACTGTGTACAGGTTTCCAGGACTACATACCTGTAATAAAGGATCTGAGGTATCTGTCCTCGCATGTGATTGGTCCCGTTGCTGCTAAGTGAACAAGCAGAAAAGTTGAAGATTGTTCCATCAGGGCATTTCACCTTGTTTATACCATTGTCTCCATTCAGTGTGCGGGTACCATGGTTACGCAGTCTGATTGTATATTTTACCCCCTCCTTAAAGGAAAAAAATCATTCAATTACGTCAACTGTCATGAGAGCCTAGTGAGAGAATGAGCTGATTATTTAAAAACTAGACTTGCACTAGTTATAGATATATGGAGATGTTTTGTTTTTGTTAAACAGCAGGCATTTTCATTTCTCATAACTATTGTACATGTTTATGTTACACATTAATTTAGTAGGTGTTTTTTATAATACAGAAGAAAAATAGCTCTGCAAACGTGGGCAATACCCCACAGCCTTATTATAAAGTTGGAAATGTGTGGTTGGGGTGAGTGGAAAGTTATCTCAAGAATGGGTTGTGTAGGTCCATAGGCCCAACATCCCCAGTGAAAATGGTGATGACCGGTGATGTAGTTTTTAAGACAATAAGCAGTAAGCAATTGTGGGCAGACGGACAGACAGACAGACAGACAGACAGACAGACAGACGGACGCCGTGCATGATCGCAATACCCCACACCCTTTCAGGTAAAAATTGTAGGTGTTTTCATTACACATACAAATTTTATGTGTTCTGTAGTACAAACAAATGGTAGAAATTTTCTTCACACGTGTGAATTTAACTATGTGCACTTGGGTAAATATATAAATATATGTTCTGTGCATTTTGGTTCGACACACAATCTGTCAAAATTTATAGATTACGTTACCTTGATTGAGACAGGACGGTCAAACTTGATTTCAGCGATATCATTGACACAATCCTCTGGACTATAAGTGCCCTTAACAAATTCTATGCTGCGCCATCTCTGAGCATGGTTGGTGTCTGTTGGACCATCACTCTGTAAACATAAAGTAAAATGAAACTCATGATTTTCTAGGAAAACTCAGCAGCATAATTGTAGAACTGAATGTGTTTACCTGGATACTCACATCATCAAGTAGCTCCAATTCATACTCATATCGACCCTCCCCTCCATAAACACACACACCGGCAATCACAATGCCTGGCTTGTCCACACTAAAGGAGATAGCATCAGGACTGCCATTTCCCGTGTTCCAGTATGCACTCTGGCTTGTACGTGTAAACCTGTTTGGGGTCATCAACAGAGGACGTGTAGTTGTTCCGAGATCCACCTGGGTAAAGAAGTTTTGAAAATTTAATTTGAAACAATGTAAATGTTTGATGTTATAACTTGAATCACTGTGACATTTCCATGTGATGAATCATATACTGCCACTCAGAAAATAATCCTTATCAATATTTTTTACTCCCACATAAAATATTTCATTTTTGACCAGTGTTGAATTCATCCTTGAATAAAAGAAAATTATTTTCCAGCTGTAACATCAAACTTTTATTTTTGTCCTGTTTGAAAATGGGTAATGTTAATGTACAGCAAAAGTTTCTCCCATGTGGCTGCCCATTTAAACTGAGAAGTCTGACAGTTGTGACTTGACATACCTCGAGCCCAGTGGCTGTAGCTGAGAGTTCACTGACGATAGTAGAGAGTAAGGAACATGTGTTGGCCACCAGCACGGTAGGATAGAGGGACATGTCACTGCTCAAGGCCTGTCTCACCGGTAACATCACAATCAGCAGTAGCTTGTCAAGTATTTCCTTAAAGGTCACCTGACTACCACCGATACCCGACATCTATAACAGAAAGGTTACAGTCTGCAACAGTTGGCAGCCCAGGACTATTTATTTGATGTTTTGAATAATGTAAAACTGATACCTGAATGTCAAATTTGGTTTACAGACTTTTAAAGTTTGGAATTCAACATCTTAATGTACTTTTAGCAAAATACTGTAAAACAGATCTCACACTGAAAAAAAGAACAAAAAAAAAAAAAGAGGCCCATGGGCCTTAACGGTTATCTGACAAAAAGCAAGCCAAACCTAGAAAGTGGGTTGAGGTCATTCATTTGAACAAACTTGGTAGCCTCTCCTCCAAGCATCTTACATGCCCAATATCAGCACTCATGGACTTTTGCTTGTTGAGAAGAAGTCGTTTGTATATTTTAACATATTTGACCCCTGTGACCTTGAAAGTGGGTCGAGGTCATTCATTTGAATAAACTTGGTAGCCTTTCCTCCCAGCATGCTACAGACCCAATATCGGCACTCATAAACTTTTGCTTATTGAGATGAAGTCCTTTGTATATTTTAACATATTTGACCCCTGTGACCTTGAAAGTGGGCCAAGGTCATTCATTCTAACAGACTTTGTAGGGCTCCATGCCAGCATGCTATGGGCCAAGTATTAGCCCCCTAGGCCTTCTAGTATTTGAGAAGAAGTTATTTAAAGATTTTAACATATTTGACCCCTGTGACCTTGAAAGTTGTTCAAGGTCATTCATTTGAACACACTTGATAGCCCTTCATCCCAGCATGCCACAGGCACAATATAAGCAATCTGAGCCTTTTGGTTATTGAGGAGAAGTCGTTTAAAGATTTTAACATATTTGGCCCCTGTGACCTTTAAAGTGGGTAAAGGTCATTCATTTGAACAAACTTGGTAGAGCTCCATGCCAGTATCCTCTGTGCCAAGTATTAGCCCCCTAGACCTTCTAGTATTTGAGAAGAAGTTGTTTGAATGAAAAGTTTACGCACAGCATACGGCAGACGACGACGGATGAAGCACGATGGCTATAGGTCATCTTGACCCTTTGGGTCAGATGACCTAAAAACCCAATCAAACCAATCTGAAATGGAACTGACCTCAATGCGGTAGGTCATATGACCCACAAGGATAGGGAATTTGTGGACCTCGCCCAAGCGTGCCATGCTGTTGGTATTGTCATCCATAATGACAGATTGTCTTCGAAGTATCTCCTCTGTGTGTGGTTCACAATTAATAGGCATGATATTGGTGAGGCGGATTGTCGGGTGACACATAGCTTCCATCACAGCCGCGAGCAGTCGGCCATAACCATTAACATTCATCATGTCCTAAATCCAAAATTAAACAAGTCCACATGACTGATTTTTCTGTTAACATTATTGGTTATCACATTGACTTAATTCACAGCAAATGACTATGTAAGATCACTGTCATACTTATATGTATTCACACATGGGGTGTCTAATCAAGAATTAAAATAAATATACGTTATAAACACAGAACTAATTGTATCAATAATTTCAATGTATAAGATACAACTCACTACATAACACTAGGAAAATTTGACCAATACTTTATTGACATATATATCTAGAACTGTCCCTAGCTCATAGGACTTACCGGTTCCAGCTGGTTGAGGAGATCGCACAGACAAAGCCACTTGAGGTTACCAGTGGGGTAGAAAGCATGGAAACAGGCACGGAATGTCTTGTGACACTCTAGTAGTATCTCCTCCTCCAGTTCCTCGAACACCTTCCCTGGTGGCTCTGATAGGTACATGTGTACCTTTGTGGGGCGCACCTCCTCGGCCAGGATCCTTCTCAGTAGGTCTTGTGTGTCACCTACACAGTGGGCTAGTTTGGTAGATTCTGGCATAGCTTTACGAAGCTTGTCTGGTGAGTAGAAAGGGCACTGGATGTTAGAGGCAGTACTAGGGATGTTTAGGGTTTTTGATTTCCCTTAATGTTTTCATATATCATTACGAATGTGATGTTTGATCTGTTGAGTAGGTGATAAACACCATCATTAATCACATAACTTTTATTCTGATCTAAGAACAGTTGCACAAATGATATCTATATGGGCAACACCAATCAAATTGCAGGACCTACTAAAATGATGTTTTAAAAAATGGATCATAACAAACAATTTTCTAAAGGGAGATTCTTTCTATATCCTCACTGCTGGTGACTTACTTCCATCAGGGTAGATCTGTGTCACATAGATACGCAGGAGACAGAGGCTTGCCTTACAAATGTATACCACCCGCCGCAAGTCTGACAGGGCTGCCATGTAGTTATCTCCCCTTAGTCCATCCATTTCTGCTAATGAAGAGTGGAAGGTATTCCAACTCCATTGTAGTAGCTTTAGTAATGCCTCAAAGTTTTCCTGTAAACACATGCAGATAAAGTGTCATAATGATGGTAAAGCCAGGATATCATTTAATGTTACCATATTTCAGCGTCGCAACACATTCCAAATCTAAATTCTTCTGGACATTAATGATTCATCAAGCATTTGAAAACCACAACAAAATTCTATTCTGAAAACAAGTTTTCATAAATCCTGTTTTGTCATGCCTTAGTTTAATTTACAAAATCTCTAAATCAATTTCTCCTTACAACTAAAAAATGATATTCAGCATTACAACATCTAATGATCAGAAATAACTGTAACTGGATACAAATATAAATAATTCTATCGTGCCTTACTTGATACGGAGTTGGAATATCTTGCTGCTATAAGAATGTCTGTAATCACAACCTTTGCTGATTTGTCCCACCTTGTCTTACAAGGTTCTACAAGATGTGTGATTGAAGAGTTAATGAGCGAGTAGAAACTTACTGGTGTGACAGAACAGGCAAAGTCTTGACTGAGGACATGGGCAGGCTCTGTGTGATCCACCTTCCTTACTGCTCCAGGACTATCTCTTGAGGGCAGTCTGATCATGTAATAAATGTGACACGTAATAAACAGAATACAGTCATTCAGTTGATGTGAACAGCTGTTATAGTAATGCCCTATAGAAAAAATACTATGTAAAAATACTGACCTGTACAGTAACTGGGGAATTTGGCCTGCATTAACGTCTGTACCATTGTTGGATTTCCGTGAACTTCTAAACTTGAATACAACTCTGAAACAGAGCAGGAAATATGTATGCTGATCTAGTACACCTGGTAAAACTATAACAAATTTCAGACTTTTCAGTGACTCACCACACAAACCCATTCATTCTTGTCATTACAGAACTACATCATTCTTAAACACAAGTAGCGGCTACTCACTGGTCCTCTGTGGTGACGACAGACTGGCCGGTGGATCCACAGTCACTGCTAGGCCCAGAGATCCTTGCCCACGCCACATACCAGCTGTTGGCTTGGAGAGTCACAGGCTCCTCAAACACCATGGCAAACTTCTCCCTGTTACAGACTATCTGGTTAAAGATTGTGATCACAACATTGTATGACCTGTGTATAGAAGAGGGTTCCTAAACAAAGTAATATTGTGGGACTAGCAGGATATGAATTACTTACCTAGCTCCACATTCAAATGCCATCTCTTCAGTCTCAGCCAGAAGCTCCCCATCCTGTGCCTCATTCTCTCCTCCCTCTGGGCCCAACTCAAACAGCTACAACAGCACATCACTTGATTCAATTAAAATCCTAAGATGAATGTAAGCAGATAGCAAATGATAACTACTAAACTCAATACCAGGTACAACTGACCATTTCCTCAGTATACTGTGTAGAAATACCAAATTGAATTTTCATGGGAAATATAATTTCCTATACTTCGTATCAAACATTTTCACCATAACACAAGTTTTAACACATCTTCAAAAGACATGACCGACTATGTGTTTGATCTGTTGACTTGGTATTTAAAGCTGGTCTCCCAACTTAACAAGTCTATATCTAGACACCACACTCGCTTTTCACCATGATGACTGGGGCTGGATTCCCTCATTGTACATGAAAATCTCAAACTTGTTTCCACGAATCTGATGATTAAACTAAGAAAAGTATACCTAATGGGAGCCAACTGAGGTTCTCTATTCTCATAACTGAAAGTGAAACAATCAAAGTTGGACTCAAATTGATGTAGTCAAAGAAGAATTGGCTGACCAGTGACCATCCACTGACCTTGATGCGGCCATAGTACTCTCCACGACCACCAAATAGTCCATATCCGCCAAGTATTATGTCGGTGTCCACCATGAAGCGAACAGCTTCCACAGAGTGACCAGAATAGCCCCATCCTCCTCCATGGCCTGAAGTGTAAGAAATGTTTTTACAATACTTCCTTGTTTCAAACTGAGTATTGTTTAGAGATACTCAGACTACTTTTTCTAAGCCTGGCAAAAAAAAAAAGAAATCAACTTTTAGATTCAAAAGGTAATAACAGGAAAATAACAAACTGACAGTTAAACTTGGTCTGTACCATGTTCTTACAAAAACTTTGGATCATTAACTGATGGCCTGTCAAAAAAGAGACAAAAGAAAATCTCAGGTCAGGTAAAACATACAGTTCCTCACAGTCTCACCAGCAGAAAAAAAAAACATATACTTAAGAATGTAAAACAAGATCACGGATATACTGACTTTCAAACCTGTTGACCACTGAAAAGTCCTCCTTGCTGTAGACCTTGGAGGCAGTCATCTTCTCTTTGGTCTCCTCCATCACAGTCAGATTGGACAGCTGGGCTGAGGTAAGTGTGTCCAGGCAGCCTGAAACACAAACAAGGAATACTGCTTCTTCAGTTTCCTTTTTTTTTTTTACTGAAATTCAGTGGTAAACGTTTAATAATGATATTTAATCATTTGGTACATGTTTTCTATTATCCTGTTCCTTTCCAAACAGTTATTCAAGAACAACGTTTGAAAAAGAATGAAAATGAATATAAGATTTTCCATTACAATTCAACATTAATGATTTCTTAATTTTTTGAAATAGTATTTCAAATTCTCAATATCTGAACATTCATGTTATTCTAGCTAACAATACACTGTAAAGTAGTTTCCAAGCAGGCTTACCCAGCAAATGAAGTGCACAGTGTGAACGAGTTGCTTGGCAACCTATCCTTACAGGGACAGAAATTTCAGGTTTGAACAAATCATGGATGTTGGCCATCTTGACTCGAGACTTGAGTGGTCGTGCCTCGGATGCCATGACATTGTAACAGGCTACCTCATGTTTGGTTGTTGAGTAGCTGTAAATACACACCTGATTAGTATCTCTGGTCTGCTAAAATCAACTCACTCCTAATTCAAAATTCCTAGAACATTGTATGTTACTACATACTTTTAAAGCTAATTGTAATAGGAAGACTTTCTCATGAAGATTTGATATTTAATAGTTTATTAATATTGTAAAGAATTCCTTCCTTTGAATGCATCTGTTTTTATGATTTAACAAAAGCTTGATGTTGAGATATAGACCATTATCCAGTGTGACCTTTTCTTCAATGTATCAAGTGTTCTACATTTTAAAATTTTTTTTGGGAATAACAAAAACTAAAGACACACAAAAAATAACTACTCTTACTGTAACTGTATATTATGTAAAGCAAAAAGATCTGATGCTAAAACTAAGTGTGTTTTATGTAATTTAACTAATTTACTCTGATGCGACATTTGTTGCTGTTTTAACTCTGATGCGACATTTGTTGCTGTTTTGACTCTGATGTGACATTTGACATTTGATGCTGTTTTGACTCTGATGTGACATTTGTTGCTGTTTTGACTCTGATGCGACATTTGTTGCTGTTTTGACTCTGATGTGATATTTGTTACAGTTTTGACTCTGATGCGACATTTGTTGCTGTTTTGACTCTGATGTGATATTTGTTGCTGTTTTGACTTTGATGCGACATTTGTTGCTATTTCGACTCTGATGCGACATTTGTTACTGTTTTGACTCTGATGTGATATTTGTTGCTGTTTTGACTCTGATGCGACATTTGTTGCTGTTTTGACTCTGATGTGACATTTGTTGCTGTTTTGACTCTGATGTGATATTTGTTGCTGTTTTGACTATGATGCGACATTTGTTGCTGTTTTGACTCTGATGTGATATTTGTTGCTGTTTTGACTCTGATGTGATATTTGTTGCTGTTTTGACTCTGATGCGACATTTGTTGCTGTTTTGACTCTGATGTGACATTTGTTGCTGTTTTGACTCTGACTTTTGTTGCTGTTTTGATGTTGCTGTTTTGATGTGACATTTGTTGCTGTTTTGACTCTGATGTGATATTTGTAGCTGTTTTGACTCTGATGCGACATTTGTTGCTGTTTTGACTCTGATGTGACATTTGTTGCTGTTTTGACTCTGATGCGACATTTGTAGCTGTTTTGACTTCGATGCGACATTTGTTGCTGTTTTGACTGAAGCGATATTTGTTGCTGTTTTGACTCTGATGTGACATTTGTTGCTGTTTTGACTCTGATGCGACATTTGACATTTCTTTTTTTTTGATAATTTTTTATTTTTCAAGATTTTACATGATGAACTGGACAAATACACTCACACCCTCTCACACATCCAAACACAGGTGCACATATAGTCATTGCGTGTCAAACAAGAACACTCCATTCAAAAGAATCATCAACATCATCATCAACATTCAACAATGCATGTGATCATTATTATTATTATCACCATACATGATAATCCTCATATATCACAATCAATATTATTACACACTAGATAATGCATCATCATCATCATCATCATCATCATCATCATCATCATCATCATCATCCTCAAAAACATGATAATCTTCCTCATCATCCATTTCAACATATATATCACAATCAATATTACTATCATGATTATTGTACATAATGCATCATCATCATCCACATTCAACAATTCATCATCATCATCAAATCAAGATTCATACTTTCATAACCATTATGAAACCTTATGATTCATAAATATCACAGTAAACTTTTGTTTGAAATGCACCCATGCACACATGCATAAACACACACACACAACCATAAATTGACATCAACATACAGAAATGAAGAAATGAAATAGAACTTTATTAGGGATAAGAAATTTAAAGAGAAAGAAATTGAAGAGAAGGAAGAAATAGTAAAGTGGATTGTTGGGTGAGATGGTAAAATAGGTTAGAGTAATTTAATCTTTTAATGTTTTTCTTTCTTTATATCTGATTACTCAGTATGGTCAAGGACTGTTATGTATATAATTATAAAAAATTATAAAAAAAAAAGAAAAAAAAAACAAGAGGCCCATGGGCCTTAACGGTCATCTGACAAAAAGCAAGCCAAACCTAGAAAGTGGGTTGAGGTCATTCATTTGAATAAACTTGGTAGCCTCTCCTCCAAGCATCTTACATGCCCAATATCAGCACTCATGGACTTTTGCTTGTTGAGAAGAAGTCGTTTGTATATTTTAACATATTTGACCCCTGTGACCTTGAAAGTGGGTCGAGGTCATTCATTTGAATAAACTTGGTAGCCTCTCCTCCAAGCATCTTACATGCCCAATATCAGCACTCATGGACTTTTGCTTGTTGAGAAGAAGTCGTTTGTATATTTTAACATATTTGACCCCTGTGACCTTGAAAGTGGGCCAAGGTCATTCATTTTAACAGACTTTGTAGGGCTCCATGCCAGCATGCTATGGGCCATGTATTAGCCCCCTAGGCCTTCTAGTATTTGAGAAGAAGTTATTTAAAGATTTTAACATATTTGACCCCTGTGACCTTGAAAGTTGTTCAAGGTCATTCATTTGAACAAACTTGATAGCCCTTCATCCCAGCATGCCACAGGCACAATATAAGCAATCTGAGCCTTTTGGTTATTGAGGAGAAGTCGTTTAATAATTTTAACATATTTGGCCCCTGTGACCTTGAACGTGGGTCAAGGTCATTCACTTGAACACACTTAGTAGCACTTCATCCCAGCATGTCACAGGCCCAATATCTACACTCTGAGCCTTTTGGTTAATGAGAAGAAGTTGTTTAAAGATTTTAACATATTTGACCCCTGTGACCTTTAAAGTGGGTCAAGGTCATTCATTTGAACAAACTTGGTAGAGCTCCATGCCAGTATCCTCTGTGCCAAGTATTAGCCCCCTAGACCTTCTAGTATTTGAGAAGAAGTTGTTTGAATGAAAAGTTTACACACGGCGCACGGCGGACGACTACGGACGAAGCACGATGGCTAAAAAACTAGTAATGCGATGGGTAATAGATCAAAGTGTGTAGATCAAAACTGTATTAATTTTTCCCATTTTTTCCATTCATTCTCAAATTCACGTTTTACTTTATCATCCTTACCATTAGCTATATATTTTTGTATCATATAATTATCTTTGATTGTATTAATTAGTGCATGCAAGTTTAGTGAACGGTGTAAGCATCTCATTTTATAAATAGACTGTTTAATAATAATTATAATCTCATTGTCTACTCTGTTACTCGGAAGGAAGTTTTGATGTAGGACACCAAAAATGAAAGCTTGCTTGTTTACTGAGAAAGGGATAAATAGAGCTTCTAACAAAATATCAAGACTCTGTAATAGTCTTTGTACTTCCTGACATTCCAACAGCAGATGAATGATTGTTTAGCACTCGGAATTACACAACACATTTAATATTTGTTGCTGTTTTGACTTTGATGTGACATTTGACATTTGTAGCTGTTTTGACTCTGATGCGACATTTGTAGCTGTTTTGACTCTGATGCGACATTTGTTGCTGTTTTGACTCTGATGCGACATTTGTTGCTGTTTTGACTCTGATGTGACATTTGATATTTGTTGCTGTTTTTACTGTGATGTGACATTTGTTGCTGTTTTGACTCTGATGCGACATTTGTCATTTGTTGCTGTGTTGACTCTGATGTGACATTTGTTGCTGTTTTGACTCTGATGCAACATTTGTAGCTGTTTTGACTTTGATGTGACATTTGACATTTGTAGCTGTTTTGACTCTGATGCGACATTTGTTGCTGTTTTGACTCTGATGTGACATTTGACATTTGTTGCTGTTTTGACTCTGATGTGACATTTGTTAATGTTTTGACTCTGATGCAACATTTGTTGCTGTTTTGACTCTGATGTGACATTTGTTAATGTTTTGACTCTGATGCAACATTTGTTGTTTTGACTTTTTGCTGTTTGACTTTGATGTGACATTTGACATTTGTAGCTGTTTTGACTCTGATGTGACATTTGACATTTGTTGCTGTTTTGACTCTGATGTGACATTTGTTGCTGTTTTGACTCTGATGTGACATTTGTTAATGTTTTGACTCGGATGTGACATTTGTTGCTGTTTTGACTGATGCGATATTTGTTGCTGTTTTGACTCGCTGTTTTGACTCTGATGTGACATTTGTTGGTGTTTTGACTTTGATGCGACATTTGTTGCTGTTTTGACTCTGATGTGACATTTGTTGCTGTTTTGACTATGATGCGACATTTGTAGCTGTTTTGACTCTGATGCGACATTTGTTGCTGTTTTGACTCTGATGCGACATTTGACATTTGTTGCTGTTTTGACTCTGATGTGACATTTGTTGCTGTTTTGACTGATGCGATATTTGTTGCTGTTTTGACTCGCTGTTTTGACTCTGATGTGACATTTGTTGCTGTTTTGACTCTGATGTGACATCTGTTGCTGTTTTGACTCTGATGTGACATTTGACATTTCTTTTTTTTTGATAATTTTTTATTTTTCAAGATTTTACATGATGAACTGGACAAATACACTCACACCCTCTCACACATCCAAACACAGGTGCACATATAGTCATTGCGTGTCAAACAAGAACACTCCATTCAAAAGAATCATCAACATCATCATCAACATTCAACAATGCATGTGATCATTATTATTATTATCACCATACATGATAATCCTCATATATCACAATCAATATTATTACACACTAGATAATGCATCATCATCATCATCATCATCATCATCATCATCATCATCATCCTCAAAAACATGATAATCTTCCTCATCATCCATTTCAACATATATATCACAATCAATATTACTATCATGATTATTGTACATAATGCATCATCATCATCCACATTCAACAATTCATCATCATCATCAAATCAAGATTCATACTTTCATAACCATTATGAAACCTTATGATTCATAAATATCACAGTAAACTTTTGTTTGAAATGCACCCATGCACACATGCATAAACACACACAC